TTTTTTGAGAGAGAGAGAGAGAGAGAGAGAGATGGACATCTACTGATGACTGTCTCCCTTCTGTATGATTGATGGATAAGATTAATATTCTATCTTGGAATGTGCGTGGTCTTGGCAGTCGTCAAGTGGCACATAAACGCTCCCTAATTAAAACTACTGCTCGTAACCATGGATCAAAAATAGTGTGTCTACAAGAAACAAAACTTGATAGAACTGCTATTAACAAACAACTCTTTTGGTGGAAGGGTTCCCAATTTTGGGCCTCGGCAGTTGGCTCAAGGGGGGGTGTTGCGATTCTCTTCTCGCCGACTCTTCCAATCAAATTTGTCGATTACTTCTGGGATTGTGAAGGCAAATGGATATGGGTAGCTTTTGAGATGGATGGACTGTTGTGGGCTATATACAATGTATATGCACCTGCGGATGCTACACCCAGAAAGAAATTCTTTGAATTCTTACCGGGTACAGTACCCAAAGTGGATCGTTTAATTCTCATCGGTGATTGGAACACGGTGCAACAACCCTTGTTGGATTCCACAGCACCCCGCCCACCGTCTGCGGATGCACTCAGACTTACCTCGCTCATGACAGCAAAAGGATGAACTGATGCATACCGTTATCTTTACCCATACGATCTTTCCTTTACTTGGATTGGTACAAAATTAACGTCAGCACACCGTCTACCTCGAAGTAGGATAGACCTTTGTTTCCTTTCCCCTATACTCGTTCCACTGCTTCAAGATGTTCAGGCGCTTCCAGTCCCAGGATCAGACCACTTGCCATTGCTCTTATCACTGAAACGTGGTCTGGAAATATGTAGATACTAGGATCTGTATCGAATCCCGATATCTCTGATTAAAGACCATCACTTTGTCAAAGAAATGTTTGACATGTTGAAGTTTGAGATTGCCACTTTACCATCACACTATTCACAACCTAGAAGACTACAAGTGACTTTATCTTCCTTGTCGTCCTTTGCTCGTACTCGTGACTTGGCCCAGCGTAAATTGGCGAAAGCCAACTATCGCAATCGAGAGTTTCAAGAAACACTAGCAATGCTGACAGCGTCAACTATTCCTGATGCCAACTTACTGGATTTGCTCAAACAGGAAACTAACCGGCTGCTAATGGCTTCTAACCAGATACATCAAAGAACGCAGAACTATGCTGAATCAAAATGGATGTCAGTTGGAGACAAAATGACTAAACTCCATTTTAGTAGAGCCCGTCATCCCACGTCGGACTCTATGATTTTGGAATTGGAACATCCTTTTGATATCCAACAGCTCAATGCACATACTACAGAGGCCATTCTGCAATACGCCACTTTATTTTATACTGATCTCTTTACATCTAGACTTCAAGGAGTGGATATGGAACGTCACTGCCAACAATATATCTGGCCTGCTCTTCCAGTGGGCATTTCTGAGGATTTGAAACTCACCATTGAAGCAGATTTTACTTTGTTGGAGGTGCRTCAAGCAATCAGGCAACTWCCTCTTAACAASGCCCCCGRCATCGATGGTATTCCCTCRRAATTTTTTCGCCAATTTTCTTCATTGTTGGCACCAWAAATTCTTAAATTGACACARGCATTGATGGTTGGCGAGTTGATGCCATCAACCCATTTASAGGGAGTACTGACGTTAGTGCACAARAAAGGATCCAAAACTCAGGTGAGAAACAAACGACCAATAACTCTCACTACAACCCTTTACAAAGTTATATCACGAATGTTGGCCAATCGAATGCAGATAACCCTTTCGCACATTATTCACCCTGATCAGACGGTTTTCCTCCAGGGCAGACAGATTCTGGACACGGTGATGTCTGTCTGTCAAGGAATGTAGTATATTAATAGAACTGAACAGAATGTGGGAGTACTACTTCTCGATTTCGAAAAAGCATACGATCGAGTAAATTGGGATTTTTTTTTTTTACTATTACAAAGACTCAATTTTGGTCCTCGTTTCATTACATGTGTCAAAGCCTTGTTCATAGGAGCGACAACAATTTTGCTGATTAATGGCAAGTTGTCTGACCCAGTAACTTTGTCCCGGTCTGTACGTCAAGGGTGTCCCCTGACCCCCTACCTCTATATAATTTATATAGAAGCTTTGCATTCAATGTTGCGAGCTGATTTACGAGTTACGGGTCTACGATACCCGCTTCAACAAGAAGCCAAAGGCCAAGCCTTCGCTGATGACACCTCCTTATTTCTTTTGCTACAAGACTCTGTTTTTTCGGCCTTAAAAGACGTGATTGTTTCTTTTGCTGAAGTATCTGAAGCACGAGTTAATTGGCAAAAAACGGTTCTCCTTGTGCCCTCACATTGTCAACCACCGATACATTGGGGAATCCAATGTTTATCTTCGGACATACCATCCAGATTGCTGGGTTTTTATGTTTCCTTTGATGGACACATTAGCCAAACGACCCATGACCTTCTTCAAAAAGTCAATAGCACATTTCTAACATGGACTCGTTCGAAAGGGGTGTCTCTGATTGGACGTGTGCTTACCTTGAATAATGCTATCTTCTCCAAAATATGGTATGAGCATGCCATATCACCACTGTCGCCTGCGGTCTATAAACAAATAAAAAAATCAGCTGCTAATTATATCTGGAAAGAAAAAACAGGAGAGCGGCATTCATATCCAAGGTATCATGGAGAAAAATAATACAGAAAAAAAGTCAAGGGGGTCTGGGTGTGCTGGATCCGGACATTCAGATCCGAGCCCTTCTCACCAAGTGGCCTATTCGGCTCCTTTTCGCAGACAGACAAGCTACATGGAAAGCGCTTGCCTACTGTTTACTAGCACGAGACTTCGGTTTCTCCTCTAACCCGGATATAATTATATTAGCTCTTTTCACTGACGAATATTGCAGAAAGCGAGCAATCTCACCAATATGGAAAAACATTTTATAGGTTTAGAGGACTGCTCTTCCTAGCAAAATTGCACTTGTCCATAGCTATGATAGGATATTAATACAACCGATTTTTAATAACCCCTACATCCTCTTAGAAGACCTTCCTTTTCTCATTTATGGTCCATCTGCATTTGGCCACTCCTGGATGGCGCGAGGGGTTGCCACTTTAGCACATCTGTGGGATTCCCCCGCAAAGAATTGGAAGACACATGAAGCAATGTCAGAGCAACTGCGCGGACTGTGGAATTGGAGGCATCATCTGGATCTCATACATATAGCTCTGCCGCCAGAGTGGGAACAAGTGTTGCAACAGGAACGTTATCTACCGGGTACTTGGCTCAAGGACAACTCAAAGATCAGGCCAACCAGACTGTGGAGACTAGAATATCAAACATCCCCGACTCAATGGGAGATGACAAGCTGGAAAGCTAAGGATGGATATACAGGTCTTGGATCATTTTTGCACAGATCAATTGTGGCTCCAATTATTTCGGGATTGCGGGGTTTGATTGTTGTTTGCGTACTGGAAGACATTCAAAGAGCACATACCACTTATCGATCATTTTGTCTAGAAACACCTGCTCAGGATCTGCTTCTAGATCCTCGAGACTGGTACTGGGATAACCCCAAGCAACCTGGAACTGTTGTCCTATTATTGCGACATACTGCTCGTTTTGCCTATTCACTACTGCAACCGACTTGTGATATTGATTGGTAGATTACAAGAATATGGTCAGCTAGGGGTTATGCTATTATTCCGGACAGACTGAAAGCTTTCTGGAAGATGTTGCCTACTCTGATGGTGACGAAGCATGCTGGACTTCTCTGGTCAATCATGCATAATGTTGTCCCCACAGCGGAGATGTTATTCCGTAGACGAAGGACAGGTTTGCCTTTCTGCACAGCATGTCCGTCTGTACACATGGTGGAAGATCAATGCCATCTTTGGCAAAGTTGCCTCATTGTGCAACTAGTTTGGCAGCATTGTCAACAACATTGTATTTTTCCGAAGGAGTGGGGTGTGACATGGACCTCATAAGTCATTTTATTTGGCTTTGTCATCCTTTGTCTTACCAAACCTAGAACGTACGTTTTTGAATCAGTTCGAGCAGCTATACTTTGACAACTTTGGAAGCAGCGTAATGCAGTGGTTCGAAATGGGGACTGTCCTTCTCTACTGCAACTTCTTAGTAAGCTTAGACGCTCTTTGCGACAGATTATTTTTTTAGATTGGAAAAAACGAGTCAACAATGTGCAAGGCTCTAGAGCTGGAGTACAATGGTTCAGAAACTATTGGGCGTCTTGTCCCAGCCTGGTATCTATTGATGGCTGTACAGGGGACATTTCCTTTGGTCCTTTTTTGTTATAGTAGATGTTTCACAGGGGACGGGCTCGGCTTCCTGGATGAAGTGGAGACCTCGCCGCCCCTGAGGTCACAGATTGTATGTTAATGTTTTTCTGCTTTGGGCACTGAGCCCTAATTGAGGATTTAAAAAAAAAAAAAAAAAAAAAAAAAACACGAGTCTTGTGGTAAGAGGGAGAGAAGAGGACCTACCGTCTTCCCCCGAACACAACGCACCCTCATTCTGACTGCATCTGGCCGGAAACATACCTTGTATACTTTCCTTTTCAGGGTGCGTTATGTTCGGGGGAAGACGGTAGTAGTTCAACTGCACTAGAATCTGGATCGCGGGGGGAGTGAAGGAACGGCGTCGTGGACGATCGCGGGGAGGGAGAGGCGATTAGCCCTAATCGTGTGCTAATGTTCGGCTGGCGCCCGGCCCGGTAACGGCACGGGGGTTGCCGAGCTTGGCAAGCGTAGGTGCCATCGCCGTCGTCGGCTCGGGTTCCTCGGTAATTTCCGAGGAGCCAGTAGCGGACCTAGTCTACACCGTAACACTCTTACGGCGAGGGTTCCAGGAGAGATACCAGGTCCGGATTAGTCCCTTTCACCTGTCGTTCTATGGGTAGGCGTGGCTGTTAATGATGTCAGTGCTAAAGGAGACATAAGGAGATAATGCGGCGTATTTTCAGTTGTGGTGACATTGTTCGGTTCCTCAAATAAGGGAGGCCATCAGATGAAGGTGCAACTGTATTCAAGGAGAGCGAGTTATATGCAGGTATAATTTTCAGCCCCCACCCCACAACCCCATGGTATGTGGTAAGGAATAGTTGTTCAGTACTTGCGCCCTATTAAGGATTGCTTCGGATTTTCAGTATTCGTAATCTCGTATTCATAACCCGTATTTGTTGAGTTCGTAATTTTATTTGAGAAGCGATAGAAGACATTGGCTGACCAATGAGATGGCGGCCGATGAGGTAGTTCGCATCCGGGAAATTATTGCGGAATGCTACTTAGACGGTATACTTCCACAACGCCTCGCCCCTTCCATAGTAGAGGAAGGAGAGGAATATCATAAAGTTACTGTAAATCAGGACCTATACAAAATCCAAGCGAGATGGCTTTCTGAGCATGCCGTCACCATTATCTTTGGTGATGATTCCGCGGCCACCCCCATAGACGTTAAAAAACGTCTCGTAAGGGTGTACGAGAATGGATGGGCGGCTGCACAGCATCCAACCACCCCAGCGAAACGGGGCCTGTTCCATAACGAAA